TAATAACCCATTTTTCTACTACCCAATGCAATGACCATCAACTTCTGGTTTCCAAGGTCCTGTGGAGTAGTAAGCAGTGGCAAGGTGAAGTTCAACCATGCACAGGCACCCAGTGGACCTGCAGTCCCTGGTGGGACTCAGCACCAACCCCACAGCTCCAAGCAAGACGCAGGGCAGCTGGCAGGACTGGTGGCAGAAGGTGACACCACGACGGTGTCAGACTGGAGGTGAAAGTAGTAAGGCCAAATGTTTTGCTGACCTAGAATGGTGTTTCCTACCTGATGGCCTGTGGACAACTAGTAGCCCATAACACATAAAACACAGCCACAGGAAACACCACATGCACTCCCACGTATGAAAACAAGCAGGAACATGGACCCAGGGAATATGGGAAGTCCCAAAGAGATAAACGAGACACTTGACCTGATTTCCATGAAGCTATATGCCAAACTGTGGGTAGTGCTGCACAAAACAGCACATGAAGTTTGTCTTAAAATAGCTAAGTTACTGTTGGACTCAAAACCATGCTGAGATACACTGACAGGAAAGATAGCAAAACTCTTCTGTTCATTGAGAATTCTATTAACTTTGGCACAGACCTCTCCAATTGAAGTTCAAAAACACAGCAAGCAGACTGAAACTCAGCATTACGGTTTCCCATTACATCCTGGTGCTAAGGAGCAAGCTTTTCCCACTTGAGAGTGGGTCTCTAACAGCTTTTCTTGCTGATGTTTTTAGACAGAAAGAGGGAGATGGCAAACCCAGGAGCTCCTGGAATCATTTTGCTCCATCTTGTGGCTCCCTCTAAGAAGAAAATCCCTCTGATTTCCCACAATTTCCCTTTGCCACTGACCAAAGTGCTAAAGAGGTTTCTATCCTTAAGAATCAGGCAAAGTGGTAACTGGGCAGTGCAGAGGCGCATGAGCTTTGATTTTGAGTGGCTGCTCCAATACCTGGTCACTGAGGAAGGAACAAACTCCTTTTCCACATGGATGGTCACATCCTATTCTGTGATTTTTCTAGAGCTGTTCAAAGGGAAAATGGGAGCAGAGTTTACAGGGAAACATGGATCCTAAAACTACACCAGCTACTTGAGAGAGCTGGCTTGCACAAAGTGAGAGCCACTAGCCACCTCCCTCAATCCCCTTTCTTTGACAGGCAAGACCAGCAGAAAGACTTAACAGGAGCCCTGGATGCAGCAGCTCCTGACCCATGGCTGACTGGTGACTGTGGGTCTAGGAAAAAACCTCCAAGGAGGGGAACCTTGTGATCTGTGGGACAACGGAGGTGGGAGTGAGAGACATAGAGGGGCCCTCCTGCCACACTGTCACCAAAGCTCCATCACGTTCACCTGGAGCTGTGGGACCCCATGCGTGTTCTTGTGGGGAACTCCCTGCTCAGACACCTGCTGGGTGCACGTTGGAGGAGCCCATGGTGGTGCAGCACACACCACCTGATTCACAGCAATGTCACTCAGCACTGGAGAGCATTTGGAGAGGTTTCCACCTTCACATCCTACACAAGGCATCCTGTTTGGCTTGCAGAGGAATTCTGCTGCATGCAGTCAGGGAATTTGCTTCCAGATGGAAACACAATGAAGTCCTAACTTGTAGCACCAGAGCTAAACCTTACTTTGAAGCTTTGCTTGTAAGCTGAGACTGAATGCAACAGAACTGACACTACTGAAGTGCAATGCTTCTATTAGGAATATGGGGCAGATTCAGCGCAATCAACACCTCCCTTTTAATTTCACTGATCATTAGGGAGTCATTAGATGCAAATTACACCTAAGCCAAAAAGAGAAGAACTAAACCAAACCCTCTTGTTAAAGCAGTTAATAAAAGATGGATCACATTCTTAACAGAGAAGTTCAGCAGTATGCTGTCTAAAAACTGTATCAATTTAGCATATCCCCAAGGTGACTAAACACACAAGACTTGGGAAATATTAAGGGCACATACTCGCTTCAGTGTCTGACAGCATCTGAACTGAAGATGCTTGAAACCAGAATCTTGTTCTTATAAATCTGCCTCAAATTCTGTTTTATTTTCTCTTCTCTGTTGTAGCATTCAATTGGCACAAGGCAGTTTGAGCTCACAACAGACACATGGCACCGTGGGTGTCTGAGGTATTTTGTGTTATGCTCAGGAAAGAGCATTTTCAAAGCAGGTTTAACAGGGACAGCTGCAGAGACCTACTGCAAATGTTCAACCATCTTCCCCCTGGAGAGAGCAGCTCATCACAACCCACACCGGTACAGCAGCTTTCTTGTAGTCCCACATGAATTCTCTCTCTCCAAGCAATAAGGAAAGGAAGCACCCACTTCAGTGAAGCACTGTCACATTCTGTTCTGTACAATGAAGGTGTATTTTTAATGTGAATTCTTAAATCTCAGAACTAACATAATTCACAAACAAAATCTCTCCGTTCCCTATAAATGCTATCCTGGGAAACCACACGGAGAAGATTCACTTAACGTCTGCCTGTAGCACTACACCAAACTCTTTTTGATGCTGCTTTACATCACTTTTTCCTAAAGAATTCATTCATATGAGACTTTCTACTAAGATCTCACAGCTTCTCAACAATAAAGGATCAAACCTTGATTTTGGGACTAAGGGGACTTATTTCAGAGAACAGATAAAAGCAGAATCGAGTATTTTTGCAGCTTTCAGGTTCATGCTTCAGGATTACAACAGAAAAATGCAGGCTCCAACCAAACACTGTCAGCACCAGCTTCACCTGCATAACTGCATGGTGGGGTTTGCTCCCTACCCCAGGAGCTACCGGCAGCACCCAGGCAGCAGGGCCCAGGCCAGCCCCAGCCTGGCAAACACCTGTGTGATGGGTCAGGTTAGAGACCTGCACCAGCTGAGAAGAAACACTATACTGGCAGGAAATGTGCCCATAAATTATAGAATCATAGAATTGTTAGGGTTGGAAAGGACCTTAAGATCATCTAGTTCCAACCCCCCTGCCATGGGCAGGGACACCTCACACTAAACCATGTCACCCAAGGCTCTGTCCAACCTGGCCTTGAACACTGCCAGGGATGGAGCATTCACAACTTCCCTGGGCAACCCATTCCAGTGCCTCACCACCCTCACAGTAAAGAACTTCTTCCTTATACCCAATCTAAACTTCCCCTGTTTAAGTTTTAACCCATTACCCCTTGTCCTACCACTACAGTCCCTACTGAATAAATACTCTGTTTTATACAGGCTGGAGTCTTCTACTATAAGTGATGGCAAAATGAGAAACAACTCCTCATCCCTGGGCAACCTTGGGAGCTCTGAAATGACCTTCACCAGAGCAGGAAGCCAGTTCATTGAATCATCACAGAATCACAGAATGGTTTGGGTTGGAAGGGACCTTAAAGCTCATCCCTGGGCAGTGATGCCTTCCACTAGACCAGGTTGCTTCAAGCCCCATCCAACCTGGCCTTGAACACTGCCAGGGATGGGGCAGCCACAGCTTCTCCGGGGCAACCCGTGCCAGGGCCTCACCACCCTCATACGGAAGAACTTTTCCCTAATATCTAATCTAAATCTCCCCTCTCTCAGCTCAAAGCCATTCCCCCTTGTCCTGTCACTACAGGCCTCTGTAAAAAGTCCATCTTCAGATTTCTTGTAGGCACTTCCTACAGCCCAATGCCATCCTTCCCCTACCAAACACTTTTTTTTTTCTCCATTCTCCTTTCTTGCCCTCAATAAAAGCTACAACGTCACAGGACAAAGGCAACCGGGTAAACAAAAAGGGGAAAAAAAAATCTCCTGCCAAAAAAGCCACCTCTGGACATCTCACAAGCTCACGGGGGAGCAGATCATCCCCCCCCCCCGAAGAAACAGGATGTCCCCAGGGGATCCAGCCACCGTTCATCACTACCTGCAAGTCACATCTCATGCAGCTTTCTAAACAAACAAGTCTGACACTGACCACTAAATTTAAAATCTGCTATTAACTGCTGCGCTTTTACTAAGGGCTTGACAAACGCCTGTAATTAAGGCCACAAAGCTCTGCAACAGAGACTTCCGTGGCTGCTGTTTGTTCCGCCTGGAAACTTTCACCCGAAAAAAAACCAAAAAGAATGGGATAGAGGGGAAAGCAGATGCGAACCACGCACACACAGCGATCGGTGTCCCAGCAGAGGCAGCCGCCTGCTGCAACGGCGCAAGGAGAGCAACCCGGCAGCGGGAAGCGGTGCCGCCCGTGCCTTCCTCTTCCACAGCCGCACTCCAACCACCCCGGTGCGCCCTAACCTCCTGCCTCGGGTGTCGCTGCGGGCCGAGCGCCGGCTGGAACACCGCGGCGCACAGGGAGGGAGGCCTGCGGCCTACCCCGCCACCGCCCACGCGCGGCCCGCGGGCTGCCTCCCCTCCGAGGCTTTAAGAAGGATCCTGTCAGGAGGGGCAGCGGGAACCCTGAGGGGTGCCGGTCCCTGCAGTCACTTACGCTTGTACTCAGCCATCAACCGCTTCAGCGCCGTCCCCGCCATGGCGCGGCCCCGCCGCTGCCACCGCCGCTTCCGGGAGGCCGGCTAGAGAGGACGCTTTGAGACTGATCGGCTGCCCGCTCCTCCTCTATGGTACGCACTTAGTCCTCCGAGCGCCAGTGACGCGCATGCGCAGAGCGACACCGGGGCGAACAGCTCACGCGGCAGGCGGCTCGACAGGGAACTGGGAAACTCCCGGTCCTGGTTGTGATTCCTCAGGAAACAGGCTGCGGACACGGAGGGAGGAACTGCAGCTGCTTCGTGTGGAAGGGGCGATAAAGAGTGCATAAAGTTGTACTGTGCAGCAGTTCCCCGAGGAGAGTGGGTTTGCAGCTGATGGAGGGTGCACCGGCAACCCCAGAGGCTTATACCCAGCCATGTGCTTCTGCTACCTTGAGTCCCTGAAGTGGGTATCTCAAGCGCCGCTGCCACATACACGTTTCCCCAAAGAAGAGAAATGAGCAGCCAAGTGAGAGGTGCACAGCCGTATTAAGGGTAAGGCAGGAGACAGAGTACCAAACTATATTTACTGTATACAATAGTAAAGGACAACAAATAAATGTACAAATTGGTGAATAAACAGTGAGGTCTACAGGATGTCCCACCCCAGCCCATATACAAGAAAATGAAAAAGAAAATAAGGGCCTTTCCAGCAAGATTCCCAGCAAGCGGGAGATGATCCAACATGGCCAAACAGGTCAGGTGGATATAAAAGGCAGGTAATGATCCCACGGAGCAGCAGTGGACAACCTACAACCTGGACTTTGCAAAAACTCATCTGGAACTGGCTCCACACTCTGCATAGAGCTCAAACCACCACACAAATGCACTTAAAATTCATCAAGTTTGGGGAGACATTATAACAGATGGTTATTTCGAACACCTGTACATACATTTCTCTCTTTTGTTCACCAGGTTCTTGACAGCTCTTCTGCACATACAGCCTGGCAGCCTGGTGACACTGAAAGATGCTTCCTCCCCATTTAACAAGTTAATCTACCAAAAACAAGTATTACAAAGAAACCTGAGGCCACATGCTTGCAGTACCCACTGAGAAATGAGAGCCATACTGAAGGGAGCAGGAGGTGACAGGTTCTGCCCCTCAGTAAACCACTGACGTTGCAGTGATGGGTTTCTTGTTTTTATAAGCTTGCACAACAAAAAGTACTGCTGCTCTATCAGGAGCATTAGTTTTTTGTCCTAGCTAACTCAGATTCTGACAATTATTCAGGACAAATCTCCTTCCTGCATTAAAAAAAGAGTATTTCAGATGACTTTATCATAAGACGACAAAGCACATGTAAATCTGCAGTACTTTAAACTCCAGCTCTATACTAGGCATTGTATCTGCATGTACCAGCCTTATGTTACAGCCTTAAAGCTTCTGAAGGAATGGTGTTTGAACACACATTAAAAACCTTAAAACCAGAATCTCCTTTCCTTCTCTTTAGCATATCTTGAAAGGAAACTTTTCCTCTCACCAGTGGTATGAACATATACCGAATTATTTACATGGTTAGAACTAAACTGAGGGGCAAGGCCAACAAGAGCCAGGAATGAACACGCCATGTCCTAACACATGGGTGAATATTTAGGCCACAGGTTTAAGAAATTAAAAAAGAAAGAAATAACAAAAAAGGTAACAGCAGACAGACAATGCATACTCCTTAATCTGGATTTAAATCAAATTGGCCCAATTGAAGGTACAGATTAATCCCTGCAGATACTGTTTTGACTTGCACACGCAGTACGTCAAAGACAACAAGCAATTTTGGTAAATGTCCTCTAAAGTTTCAAAGGATCTTGTGTGATTGGCATGTTCATTTGTTTACTATTTAATAGCAAATCCAAGGACAGATGAGAGTGGGGTGTGATGAGGATCCTTAAACTCCTCTTCTCCAAGGGATGGCATGTCTTAACACACTCCACCTGTCTGCTGCTGGAACACATCAATAGTGTCTTCATCTTCCATCTCCAGCTGTTTAGAGTAACATGGAAAATGCAAGGCTTTGAATACACGTGGTTACAAAAACACTTAGCTCTCCACTCCCAACCAGTACCGATAACAGAGCATTTGAGGTGCAGTTTTAATCTGCATGCAGATATCAAAATATTTGTATAGCAATTTGCAGTAAAAGTATTTTTCATACCTGTGCAGGTGTGTCTGTTTCACTAATTGGCTGTCCATCAAATCTGAATCTAATCTGCCTCATCGACAAGCCCTGCAAGTTCAAAATAATTAATATGAATCCAAACAAAACATTTATAGATTTACTGTCAGAACAAATCTTAACAAAATTCAGACTCAAAAGATTTAACCAGAGGGGAAAACAGCGCATCTATGTTGCTAACGAAATTGAGGAAGCAGAGCTGTTAAGAGTGACCTCCTGCTGTGCTTCTGTCACAGCAAGGACTCTATATGGAACCACACGTGTGGGTTTGGCACTTTGTTGTTATCCTGCTCTGCAAGGCACGAATAGCACAAGTTAATTTGCAAAGACAATTTAAGAACAGATCAATCAATACACCATTGTGTAAAGCCTCAGAAGACAGGCCAGAAGGAACATCAATTGTTACTCATGCAGTCACAGATAATGTTAGACTAAGCTGACTCAAGGAAAACAATTTAAAACAATATGAAAAAATGACATTTTTGTGTAACTAGCTACCAGCACCAATTACCCATAGTTAAGACAAGCTTTCATTCATGCCAAGCATCTGCTCCCAGTTCTAGTTCTTTATCTTCTTATGAGAAAAGGAACCATGAAGAAGGCCTAGGGAAAAAGAATTTGCAGGACCTGACACAGATTTTTGCTCACAAGGTTTATCAGAAAAACACTGGAGTCTAACATTAGTAAGCTGAAGTGCCCTTAAAACCCAAGCTGAATTCATGCCTGTTCTGAACGTGTTTAATCACAAGAGGCAGTCTTTATTCCCTGCCTCAGGGATCCAGGTCTTTGCTTTGCCCTCTAAAATCCTTTCAAAACCCCACGACTCACACTTCCAGTCATACACACAGCCACATGAACACAAGCACTCCCCGGGCTTCTCTAAAGACCCCATGTATTCGGTTCTGTCCTGGTTTAAGTAACTAAGTAACTAAGAACCATGCAGCCTTTCGCTCACTCTTCCCTTTTGCCTATCCCTGCTCCCAGAGGGATGGGGAGGAGAATCAAGAGAGTGTAACTCCCACGGGTTGAGATAAGAACAGTCCAGTAACTAAGGTATAACACAAAACCACTGCTGCTACCAATAATAATAATGATAAGGGAAATAACAAGGGAATACAACTGTTCACCACCTGCTGACCGATACCCAGCCTGACACGAGCAGCGACCTGGACCTTCTGGGTAACTGCCCCCAGTTTATATACTGGGCATGACGTGCTGTGGTACGGAATACCTCTTTGGCTAGTTTGGGTCAGGTGTCCTGTCTCTGTTTCCTCCTGGCTTCTTGTGCCCCTCCTCACTGGCAGAGCATTAGAGACTCAAAGTCCTTTGTCAGAGTAAACATTACTTAGCAACAACTAAAAACATCGGTGTGTTACCAACCTTGTTCCCAGGCTAAAGTAAAAACCACAGCACTGCACCAGCTACTAAGAAGAAGAAAAATCACTGTTACAGCTGAACCCATGACAAGTTCCCATTCCCAACTCAAGAGGCCTTATGCTACATCAGGCATGGGACAGGGAAGAGTGTAAGGTTCAAGTAAGCAAAGCAAGGATCGTGCTAGTAATGGACATGGGCAAGTGCAGCAAACAGAACCGCGCTCTGCTTCCAAAAGGCATCTGTGTCCTCTCCCTCTGTTTTGCACCACTGCTTCCAGTCAATATCGGGTGCTATAGGCACAGGAACTGGGCTGCGGGGATAAACCCCTCTCCCGTTTAATACCTCAGGGTGGCACTGAGGAACAGCCTCCATCTGACACTAAGCACACGACTGCCACCTGCAGAATACAGGAGAGCAAACTGAAATGAGCAACAGGACACGTGAGAGGAGAAAACAAAACCACAACAGGGATCGTGGCACTGGGGAATTTGCTTTGTCCCGTTTTCCAAACAGAAAACACACTCTATATAAAGTTGATCAGGTTTTTGGAGATGACAGAACTGAGGGTTATAAGGCTGAAAATTCAGAGAATTGGCTTCAGAGCTAGGATCAGAACTCGTTGGCTAGCAAAGCCGTCACAGGGCACTTTCAGTGGAAGAGGCAGTTTTCATTAGCAAAGAGAAAAACTTTAACACTGAAGCATCCCAAGTCCTCTCTCCTGCACACCCGGATACATTCACCCTGATGCACTGGTATTTTAGACAAGCAATGAAGCTTCTGCCGCCCCAAGGGCGGTCCCGCGGAAGGCGGTGGGCCGGGAGCAGCCCCGTGCCTACCTGCCGCTCGCAGTACGCCTTCATCAGCTTGCTCAGCGGGGTGTGCCGCTTGATTTTGAACTGCACGACGGAGCCATCCTGCCCCGCCACCTTCAGGTTGATGTGATCATTCTCTGTTTTCACGCCTTCCTGGAGGGAAAGCGTGAGGAAACAGCCGGGTCAGAGCGCGGCCGTGCTGCGGGCGAGCCCCGCCACCACCCCAGGCACGCTCTATGCCCGCTGCGGCCTGCAGGGCCCGGGCGGTCTCTCCCAGAGCGGCGGGACCGCGCGAAGCCGCCGCTTCCTCCTCCTCCTCCCGCCGCGCCCCGGCAAGGCCGGGCCCGGCCCACCCCGCCATCTTGGCCGCCGCACGCCGCCGGGCGGGGCGGGGCGGGGCCCACCGGCAGCCCTGCCCCAGGGCCCGGCGGAGAGGCCTCGCTCTCCCTGTGCGTGCGTGCTCGTTCGGCGGGCCTCGCCACGCCGGGGCCGCCCCGCTGCCCGCCCGCCGCGCCTCACCTTGGGCTTCTCCTCCGACATGGTGGAAGGGCCGGGGCGAGGAGGGGAGAGGGGAGGGGAAGGGACAGAGCGCGTTGACGGACGCGCCCGCGCGCTCGGCTCCCGCCTCGGCTCCCGCCGCCTCCTGCCGCCCGCGAGAGCGCGCGCCTTGGCCCCGCCCCGCGCCCTGCCGCCCCGCGCGCCCATTGGTCGTCCCGTCCTGGTCACGTGAGGGGGCGGCCCGTGGCAGCCGCGGGGACCGCGCGCACCTCCCCGGGCGGCTCTGGAAAGTGCGTCACGGGGAACAGGAAGTACCGCGGCCAAGCTGCGTCCCCGCCGAGCCGCACGGGGGCGCTGTGCGCCGCGCGTCCCGCTGCCGCGCACGGGGGTGCGGGGAGAGACCCCCCTGGAACGGAGCGCATCACGCGGCGGGTGATGTTCCTCGGGCTGTGCCAGGACTGCCTCCCCTTGGAATTGGGAGGAGCCCCCGAACCTCCATCTCAGCCGCTTACCTCACGCTGGCCTTCCGCAGAGCGGACACTGGCCGCTTCGGCGATCTGCTTGGCACAGTCCCAGGAAACGCTCCCTTTTCCATTCTCCTCCTGGGGATGCATCCCTGGAAGGATGGGCAAACCATCAGGGAAGGGAACAGCAGTAGCCCCCTCTCCTCCAGTTCCAACATCGATATTCCTCCCTACCAGTGCTTGAGCCATATCCCACCCTCTCCCCAGCTTCCCACAGCCACATCCTTGCCTCTTACTCCGTACCCGAGGCCCTAACCCCTCCAGGCCCACCGTGCTGCAGCAATGAGCAAAGCACCACAGAGGAAACCAGTAATGGGCCCTCTCAGCACCCCTTTGCTTGTCCCTAGAGCACAGTTATGCTCCATTCAGGCAAGAAGCTGGCTCCCCAGATGGAGCAGGTCCCTCTGCTGCCCTGGTTCAGGACAATGTTGCGGTCTAAGCCCAGCTGGCAACTAACTACCATGCCCCGTGGGATGGGGAGGAGAGCTGGGAAAAAAGGCAAAAACCCACAGGCTGAGATAAGAAAAGTTTAATAACTGAAATTAAAGTAGAACATAATAGTACAATAATAATAAAAGGAAATAAAGATGAAAGAATAAACCACACACACCCCAAAAGGTAATGCACAATAATCGAATCAGTTCAATATATAGTCAACATAGTGTAAAGGCATCCAAATCCTACAGTATTGCTATCAGTGGTGGCCACCAAGCCCAGGAGACCACCTTTTCTAGAAAGGCACAGAGAGGTAGGAGTGTTGGGGCATTTTCCCAGATTAGTTGAAAGTGAGAACGTGCACATGGGACTGTCCTACTGGAGGCCTGAGACAACCAGAAACTTGTGCTTTTTGAAAGGAATGCCCATGTACTGGCACAAGTACAGGCACCTGGAGTAATGGACAAGGCCTCCTGCTGACCAGTAAGTCAAGAAACTAGTTTTTGCCTATAAGAAAAAGAAAGGTGAGAAGAGCCTGGCTCTGTGTGTGTGTGAAGAGTATTTGGTGAGGCAGGAGCAAGATACACAAGGCTGCTTTTGCCCTTGTCCAGGGACAAGAACTGTTAATTGCATTGCTTTGGACTCTGTAACCACCCCAGGGATAAGTGAGAAGAAACATGTCATCCTCCAGTATTGCCACCATGTGTTTCTGCACCAGCAGAGAAAGAACAAAGCTCTGGAGCAGACCAAGCACCTAGAATAGGGACAATGATGTCACTAAGCATTTGGCTCATCTTCTGTGGCATCTGAAGTGATAAGTGATACCATGGTGGTCTCCTTGTGGCAGGGGAAGCATGAAGTCCTGTGGCTCTGGGAAGGCACCGTTCACCAGGGTGGGCAGGTCTGGAGATACTAATTCTCAAATTTTGCATAAGGGTTCTCCTCCTTGAACAGGCCTAAAAGAGAAGAGAGATTCATTCAGACAGCAGCTGCCAGCAAGAAACCAGCTCTTGTTAAGAACTGTCATTCATGTTTCACCCAGCCTCCTGTCCTGCTGTCCTTCTGAAAGACCTGCTCTTACTCATGCTGCACATGCAGTCAGCACTACTTCACTCTCCTCCTCTGCACAGGAGGAGATCCATTAAGAAGCTCTACCTAATGGCAAACTCCTCTCATGCAGGTATGAAGTCCAGGCTTAGCAGCAAGCCTGATCTCCCAGAGCACCCCCTCTGCACACTCCTCCTGTTGGACTGGACTTGGAAGCAGAGAGCTCAGACCCAAATTAAATAAAAACTGATCTTAGACTGGCCCCTCTGCTCCCATATCCACAGCCTGGGAGACAGGGGCAGGGTATGGGGCTGACTTCTGGGCCAGCGAGAAGCCCCCGTGCCACTCTTCTGGCTGCTTTCCCAACCCCATCCCAACACCTGAAGAAGAAAGCCACAAAGGACAGGACTGCAACTCTGCAGTCAGGCTACAACAAGACAACCCTGGAGCACAGATCTTCCACTTCCACCCTGCCGCCCACCCAAACCCCAAAAGACCACCACACTCAGTGTGCATGAACCCAACTGCTCCCTACTTCACAGCCACCCTGGGAACACCCTCAGCAGGCAGGCAGGAGAGACCCTCCACCAGCTCCAAGCAACCAGCTGCTCTCCACTTCCTTCCAGCCTGCTGTCCCCCTCCTCAGCTCTTCACCCGCCCCACAGCCACAGGATTCACCTGAGGGACTGTCCAGCCCCAAGAGGGAGGCTGTGTCCTCCCAGCACTCAGGCACTGAGCCAACAGCTCCTATGGACCTGCTGCCAGCACAGAGGACTGGCTCTGCAGTCAGGCTGGTGCCTACTCTGTGTTCATACAGGTTCCTGTCTGGCCCCCAGGCTGCTGGCTCCCCAGCACCACTGACCACAGGGCTGCCAGAGGGCCATGCCTGAAGAGCAGCAGCATGCAGCTCGTGCTGTGTCTACCAGCTTCTGCTTCTCCCTTCCAGCCAAGCCCCAGGAGCTTCTTGTATGTGGTGAGTTTGGAGGACACAAGCCCCAGGGAGTGTTAAATACTCTTTCTTTCCTGCCTAAGAGGCATAGCACTTGTTTGAGGTCACAATCATTTCTACACTTGCTCCCTGAGGGCAAGAGAGCAATTCACTGAAACGGGAAGCAGAGATTGTTTTCACTGCTGGCCAGGTCTCTACAGCTGTAACTATAACAAGGAACATAGTTACTGAGGCAGCTCAATCTAAAGCTTAGCTTGAATCACATCACCTGTGATTCAGCTGATGTGAGTGATTCAATACTGTACCATATTTTCTTCGGATTTCATCATGTCGTGATTTCATCTCAGCTCTCCTGCAAGAAGCAAACAGAAACCCCATGAGTCAGTGACAGGCAGTACAAAACCAGGCAAGAGAAGCTACAGCCCCTTGCTTCTTCCCAACCTAGGAAGTTCCAGGCTGCCAGGTTTGCTCAGCCTCCCCCCTACTCCCCCACCTCCCAGAGACACTAGGGACCATCAGAGCACATGCACATTAGCAGCCCTTAGGGAGTTAAATACACAAAGCTGTTGTGATGCTGCATCCATGAGTCACCCAGAAAGACATTGCTCATGAGGTCTGCGCCTGAGCTAGGGCTGAAGCAGCCACTGACTGCACGCTGTTGAGCCCCATGTGCCTCCTGGAATCACGTTTGACAGCACAGGCAGGAGACTGTGGCTGCAGGGTAACCTCACCTCTCCTCCTGCCGCACCCGCCTCCTCTCCCGCTCCCTGGCCATCCTCTCATCTTCCTTGTCTGGCCTGATAAAAAAAACCCTGTTAGCAGTGCTCAGCACTCAGTTCTGCAACAGCATATGGTTGCATCTGAGCTACTATGGGCAAAGAGGGGAGCCTTCCGATACTTACTTTTTGCTCTTTTTCTTACAACAGCAGCAGCAGCAGCAGCAGACCCCCAACATGATGAGGATTATTCCTCCCACCACAGACATTGCAATGATCAGGGCTTCAAAGTTCACTAAAGGATTTGACAAAACACATTTAATAAAAAAATACATGGGTGCCTCAAGATGTAATATTCACAATCATACAGCCACTTCATACAGTCACCAGCAGCTTCAGTCACTGGGCTGGAGGCACATCTAGCAGCCCAGAAAAGCAAGATGGACACAGTTACCTATAGGTATACCAAGTGTTGGTACCAGTACACACACATACACACACACCCAGCTGAGTATATGCAGCTACAAACTATGGCATTCAGTTACTGGCTATGAAGGAATGAACAAACGCACTCAGGCCCATTTCCTCCAGCAGAAACAGGAGCAAAGGTGTCTTAATCACTAATCCAGGTGAACAATAACCCATCAAGGGAAAACAATCCAGTTTCCAGAGACCACAACTGGCACCGGAGTTACTGCTAACAGGAACCAGCCTCAGAAGTCATTTAAGAAGAGATGACAGTGGACTGGAAGCACTTACAGTGCCTACAGTCCTTGGCCAAGAGGCAAAGCAAGACAAGATCCATTGGGATTTATCAGTTTGGGGCCTGCAGTGCTGCTGAAGCAGCTGAAGGCACAGAACTGCTACATTCACCCCACCACCACATCTCCCCAGGGCTTGGGAGATCTGCTCACCCATACACAGCACAAACCCCATTTGGACATGGTGGTGAAGCAGGAGCCTGGAGCCCTGGCCCCAGGGAGGCAGTTGTCCTACTCAACTCCTGCAATAGCTAGCGATACCAGCCAAAACAGACATATCTACACATCACCTGAAATCCTTTGCACAAAGAGGGGGTTAATTTCCAAGTATGATACAGACTGTTCAGAGACTTGGGCCTGTGGAAATATTTGTTTAGGAGACACTTGACACACAGCAGCCAAGTTACAGAAATCCTAGTGCACCTGAGCCTGCTCAGAGCACTTCTGAGCCCCTCTTCTCCGTGTTGCTCAGACCTTTAACCAGTTAAAAACTTGAACACTGTACATGATATACTTCAGGGCGTTTCAGAAGATGGCTGCCTGTCTCCTTGCTGCAAGGACTCAGCAGTAGCAGGCTTATTGGGATGCTCCAGGCTGAGCTGACTGCACCACTGAACTTGCTTTCAAAGCCTCTGGCTCCTACTCCCAGTGGTGAGCGTCATCACTGCCAACCACTGTGCCATCTGACTCTCAAATCATACTGCATCCCTACCCGGACTACCATGGCAAGCACCATGCAAGGAATGTGGATACAGATACCAACCGCAGACAGCTGCCATAGCCTGCTAGCAGGTCAAAAGCAAGACCAGAAGCCAGCAACCTACCTGCTTGCAGACACTTGTGTTTGTCCCCACAAGTGGGTTCACACAGCCTCTCTATTGGTCACCCAGCAGCAGAGAGGCCTGCAGATCCATGCTCCCAGTAAGGCTTTGGGAAACATGGTATTTGAGACCTGATTGTCCACAGCATTGCCTTACCTTGGAGCATCATGTAGCTTTTGCTGGCTGCACTGTAACAGATCCACAGTCATGTGGGGGGCTGCACATGATCAGAAGTCAGCCCAGGGGATAAGACAAATCCAAACAGGCTCTTCAGTTCAAGAGGGAGTTTTTCCACCAGCACATATCTGTATTGGTGCTTCGTTTTGAAACCTCAGATTTTAGGATAAGCCCAGGGTTCTGATCACCCCTTTCCACAAACAGTGGTCCATCCCAGAGCACCAGGCACTGGTTCATCTGATGATGAGGGTGTAAATCTCCCACATACCCAAAATGCAGACTCATTTAAGAGCTAATTTCTCACACGACTGATCTCCTCTAAAGCGAGTTTTGCAAGGTCAGGAATGTGTTCTTCTATAACAAAACCTTTTGTGAAGCTACTGGCATAAAAACTAGTATTACAAGGTCTTACAGAAGCTCCAGAACAGCATGCTGTAGTGCTCACAAAGAGGAAATTCTTCCTCCACAAGGTATGGGGAGCAGTTAGCCCAGCCTCAAGAACACTAGATGATAGGTGACCACAATTCAACTCCAAGTTCCCCATCAAGGGGATAGGCAAGAGAAACCAAGCCCCAGCTTGCTTCCTACCTGCCTCAGCCCCTAAAAGCTGGGTCCTGTCTGAGCATGAGCATGCACCAAGCTTGGTTTAAAGACACCAGTTTCTCCAGAAACGCAACAGGAAACAAAGCACCAAGGAGGAAAGTCAGCCAACAGCCAGCTAGAAAAAGCTCCAGGAATTGATCTGGCTGCAGCACAGTTTATGCAGGCTGGTTTTGGAAGAGGTTATTTTCTCAGCTGGGTGAAGAGCTGAGCAGGTATGCTCAGCTCTAGAAGCCCACGCAGGCCTGCAGAGAAGTAACCTCGCTTCTGGTTCCGAGAGACCCTGTGGATTTTAAAAGCCTGCCTGAGGCAGCAGCCACGGTGCTAAACATGAAGAGCCAGAAGCAGCACGAGGAACAACACATGAGGTGCAGAGGAGAGAGCTGAAGAGTCAGACCCTGGTGTGCATGCTTTGACCTCCTGTAAGGACCACACAGGCAGCTGCCCACAAGTGTTTGACTCTTGTTCCCAGGTGCTAGCCACATTTGGAAGCCTCCACACCAAAGCACCTGGGAACAAGAATGTCTTTAGAGGAGCTGAAGTCCCACAGGTCCTTCTTGCCAGAAGGCAGGGAACTGCTCACAGTCTGCTTTCTTGCTCAAGCTTCAGGAAGTTTGCAGAACTCTGATTGACTTCAGCCTGTCATTGCTACATCAGCAGCGACAAGGGGAGGCAAAGAAAATCTCCCATTCCCACTAGCACAAGTGGCAATCAGTGCTATTTAGTAGCAAGCACTAAAGGCAGCTATAATTAAGCACAATCCACTTACCCCAGCAGACTCCCCAGCGTGCAGAGTGGAGCTCACAGAGGTCAGCTGGGGGCAGGACTCTTCGAACAGGGTACTCCACACACCTCCTGCTGCTGGCACACCACAGGCACTGGGACAAAGGCAGCACAGCATTACCAGTGTGCAGCAGTGATGTCGTTAGCTATGCTCTGCTTCTTTAGCTGCAGCAAGAGGGCCACTGCTGCCTGCTCCTGACAGCCAGGTACCACCCATCAGCAACAGGACAGTCAGCTGTGCCTAGTCAGCACAGGCTGCATCAGGCTTGCCTGCACCAGTAGAGTAGGGGAGTGCAGATTTCTAGAGCAAGTAAAGATGCTGAGAACCCTCCTGGCTTGCATGATGGTCATAACAATCAAATCCTTAATACTCACTCCATGCATTTTTTGGGACAAGAAGGAAGTCTTTGAGACAAGGCACTTAACAGCTGATGAGCAGGGTAGGTTTGCATGTGCCATCCCTAGTCTTTCCCAGAAAGCCTACCTGCAGCAGCTTTGCACCCTCCTCTCCCGAGTGGCTCCAGCCCCTAACACCAGTGCTTGGTTGGGTTTGGTCAAACTGGTTTTGGCTGCGAGATCTGACTCAAGTTTGCTGATATCAGCGATAAAGTGGGACACAGGTATACATCCTGCATCCATCCAGTGCCACGTTACCCACAGGCTGGTGGAGGGTCAGCTTGCCTAGCCAGTCCAGCCCTCTTAAGCTCCTTCATGGTGCATGTCCCACTGACAGCATCTCCCATCCATGAAGAGGAGCTCATTAATCAACCCCAAAACCATACAGCAAGCCCCAAACAGTTTCTAGCAACCTCTTCCTAGAGCACCAAGGCAGGGTTTCCCTCTTACCATCATGGATGGGTGGCATTTGCAGCATGTTCAGAACAAGGACAGGGGAGCAGCCCACCCTTCCAGGAGGGAAGCTGCTCCATAACAGCCCGGCAAAGCCCACGTTACGTTTTCAGGCATTGCAAGAGGTTGGGAGCTCTACCGCTGCTACTTACAGTAACATTTTTCAGACACTCCTCACAGCTCCTGTTCGTATACTGGCTGCAATCTACAGGAAGGAAAAAAGACACCTCAGTACTTTGAAGAGCTTCTCAGTGCTTTGAAACTCTGGGTCCTCAGAGCATGCTCCTGCCCACTCTGGAGGTGGTCACTCCATCAGAGCAGCAGCAATGCAGCATAGTAGTGCTGCAAGAGATGCCAGCTTCAAAACATCCTCAAGTGTCATGGTGATAACCCCAAAAGCTTTGGAATGGAAATCCTCTGCCTTAACTACAATAGCCCAAAGCCCCGAGCTGCGAGTTCCTCTCCCTAAAAGCCTGATCATCTGCTGCAGCCAGCAGGCAGTGGGGCAGCTCAGGGACACAGCTGGGGTCAGTCCAGAGGGACCCTGCAAAGATAAGGACAAGTACTGGGCAGGCAGTGCAGTCCTGTATCACCAGATGACGGATCAGCTCAAGCAAACAAATGCCAGACAAGGAAGTTCCTACCAGGAAGAGAAGCAGAGGAGCACAAGGGGGACATGCAGCTATGGTCTCTGTGGGACCCCATACTCTCCCACTGCACATGAGAGAAATTCCAGCCCATTCATCCAAACCCTCCTTCAGCAGGAAACACTCCAGGTGACAAGAGGCACCACAGCCAAAATCTGCACCCGTGTTCAGAACCCATTTGCACCACATTTGGCAGAGGAAGACCCCTGCTCTTTAGACATAGGCAGCTCCTGGCATATGGATGACGGCTCCCAGCATGGCATCCCAGCCCCATGAATGACAGCATTCCCAGGGAATTCAGGTCAGCTGGGTGGGGAAACAGATCAGGTCTGAACACAGGATAAAGTGGCCCAGTTCAGCTGCCTTCCTGGGCTGGCCTGCAGTTCCAGGCCAGTGCTAGCTCTTCAGGAAAACCTTCCTTAGGACATTCACCTACCATTTCACTGGTATGCTCCTTCAGATCCTCAGGAAGGATGGTTTGCCAGCCCTTGAGGATCAGCCATTTAAGCCTCATCCCTTGCCTAAAGGGTATGAGCAGCAGCCCATGTGACCAAAGGCCATGAACCAGTTTGCCTGACTACTCAGTAACTGGTAGAAGGATCACTGCTTTGCAGCACTTTAATCAGGAAAAAATACCAGCCCAAGGTGCTTGTTTTCCACACTCACAAGCAGCAAAGCCGCATTTTCTCTCTCCGGCTGGCAGGAGCCCCGAGCTGTGACCCACTGTCAGTAGTCACATGCTCTGCACAGCCCTCCAAACAACTGGGCAATTTATGAACATAGCTCAGATAAGGGTGTTTACACACTGCCAGCCCAGGAAGCAGAGATTGCAGATTTTAGACACTACAAGGTATCTGCCTGCATCTTCCCTGTTCCTCCAGCCAAGGCCAGGAAAGCATCATAGCAGCCACGCTGCCCTGAGACTGCTTGCTTACAAGAAGTCACAAAACAGCCCTCTCACATCAGAGGCAAGATTTTAACCTGGCTCCCTATGCTTTTCCTTGGGGAAGGGAATCAGCCTGCTCACACAGGACAGCATGGGGAGCACTGCAGTCCTTGGGGACAGAGGTGCGAGAGCAGCTCTTGCTGTGCTAGAAGTTTCCTTCTGCCACCTGGCTATGAGAGAAGTGAAGACAGACAGCAAAACACGTTGGTCCTCATTCTCCTCCCAACTGGAGCAACCACACAGCCACCCAAAGTCTGGTCATCAGCTGGAGATGAGTTTCCCACTTGGTGAGCAGACTTCTTGGGGCACACCTGAAGGGGGATTGTCCCTACCCTTTGCTAGGGCTTCTCCTCCACCTGGTACAGCAGGCACATGGCTATGCTACCTCCTCCACCCACCAAGGAGGAGCAGTCAGCACCCACTGCTCCTCACCTACACCCCGATCTGGTGGCCCCCATCTTCTTCCTGGTCTGAAGCTCCTAAGGCTGTCTCCCCCAGCCTGTCCTGAAAGAGGATTTCCTCTAAAGGGTCATCACTGGGGGATTGGCTGCCAAGCTGTTAGCAGCACTGAATGCATGGCTACATTGCAAGTGGCAGCTGGGAAAGAAAACAGTAAAGCCTCTTTTCCAGCACCCCTTCTTGCAGATCTCAGAAGGATGCACTGGTGCCCCACACTGCACAAGGCCACACTCTGCCCCCGAAAGAAGGGCTTTCTTTTAGGGATGCTTAGCACAGTCCATGAAAGATAAAGGATAACCGGAACAACCACTGCAACACCAGCAGCCCAGCCCCTCTACATGTTTTTGAAGCCTTCCCAGCAAGGATGGGACCTGCCCTCCCGGCTCCCAGTGCCCATCCTGGGGCAACAGCCTGCACCAGGCTGCATCATGCACTAAGAATACCGCGAAAGTGGGGTTCAGAGTAACCACAAAGACTCGACTTCGGGCGCCCCAGCCTCAGCCCCTGCGGCGCAGGGAGAAGCACCCAGCGGGGCCGAGACGACAGCCCACCACCGGGCTCACAAAGCCCCTCATTCCGGGTCTCACAGCGCCCGGACCAGCACCCACCCCGCTGGGGCCGGGATGGGGCCACGCTTACCTCCCGCCACGTCCTGCGCGGCGGCGGCGGCGGGCAGCAGGGCCAGGGCGGCGCAGAGCCCGAGGACCGAGACCATGGCGGAACCGGGCCGCAGCCTGAGCTGGGGTCAGCCGGGACGGGAGCTGCTCCTATGTAGGGCCGAGCGCGGGGCGGGGCGGGCCGGGGCGGCCCCTCCCGCCGCGTCCCGTGGCCGGTCCCGGGGGCCGGTCCGGACGGAGCCCGTGTCAGATGAGCCTCCCGCGGGGTTTCACCGCTCCGCAAGGCGGGCGGGAAGCCCTTCGGGGATGGGGAGGGGGGAACCGGCCGCCGCACCCCGGCAGCCCCAGGCCCTACCGCAGGAGGGGGCCAGGCCCCCGCGGAGCTGCGGAGGCAGCGGTTTGCCCGCCGGGTTCGGGTAGTGCCAGCCTGAAACGCGGAGCCGGCAACCTGGTTTAGCGGAAGGTGTCCCTGCCCGTGGCAGGGGGCTGGAACTGGATGAGCTTTAAGGTCCCTTCCAACCCAGCCCAATCTGTGTTTCTGTGACCCTCCTCCTGACCCCTGCATGAACCGGTCCCCAAAAGGTCCCCACAATCCCTTCTCTCGTTGTTACACCAGTCTTTATAGCACGGAAGTGCGTTAGCTTTGTTCACATTTATATTAGTTCACATGATGCATAACGATAGGTTGTGGAATTTTACTGGAGACTTTGGTATTGTTTGTGCTTAAGTAAAACAAACAAAAGGACTGCCTGGCCCTTGTAAAAAGGACTTTACTGCTGGGAAGCATCATAGAATCACAGAATGGTGATCTCCAGATTTCTTGTCAGCCCCTTTAGGCACTGGAAGCTGCTCTAAAGTCTCTCTGGAGCCTTCTTTTCAGGCTGAACAAGCCCAGCTCTCTCAGCCTGGCTCCATAGCAGAGATGCTCCAGCCCTTGGAGCATCTTTGTGGCATCCTCTGGACTCACTTGAGCAGCTCCACGTCCCTCTTGTGTTGGGGCCCCAGAGCTGAGTGACAGCAGTACCCACCCAGTCTTGAGAACAAACTGCTTTGGAACACCAAACACACAGGTTCCATGTCTTTCAGCAGCCCCCGAGTCCTTGCTATGTGCCAAGAGCCCCGCGTTTCTCCCGAGGAGCTGCCAAAATCTGAACCACCTGCAAGAGGCAGCTGCTGGCATGAGAGCGCTCACCTGCGGTGGCAGAATCAAGAGTGCCCCTCCCTCCTCCGCGTCACGTCTCCCACGGCTCAGCCCCCGCATCCCACTGTTTGCCTGACTTAACACCATCGGCTGTTGACTCTTCCAGCCTGCAGGAGCTCTGTCACCAGTGGCCAGCCCGTCTGGCTCTCAAGGACACCAGGAACATGGCAGGGAGAGGGAAGCTTTCAGAGCAGGCAAACAATGTGCTCCACAGTGAAGCAGGCAGTGGCAGGGTGGCCAGCAGGGCTGCCTGCTCAAGCTATGGATCACCTCCTTCAGGTGTTTTTCTGTTTTACTGAAAAACATTCATTGTCTTCTTAGTTTAGGGCAATCCTCCCTCATGCCTCCCAGTCCTGCTGCCTGCGCCAGGCTGCCTGCTCCTGCTTGCTGCTGCCAAGAAGTCCACATGCATGCAGTGGTACTGCTACCCCATTCCCAAAGGACAGGGGGTAAAACCATGTCCCAAAGCACTCTGCTCAGGCAGCATCACAACCCTCGTCACAGTGACGGTCAAAAAACAATTCTTTTGGGCTGTCTGCATTGCTGGGCATGAATCATAGAATCGGCCCCTTCAGGCACTGTAAGACTGTTAGAAGGTCTCCCCTGAGCCTTCCCTTCTTGAGGCTGAGCAAGCCCAGCTCTCTCAGCCTGTCTCCATAGGAGAGGTGCTCCAAGCCTCCTCCAAGTGGTGCGGAGCTCCTTGGCTCCAGCACAGGAAAGCACTCTGCTTTCTTGACCTATGGCATGTGAAAAACACCATTTATATTGATGCGGTTCTCACATTGCAAATGTTGAGCATGTGGGCTTGAGGTCAGTGGGCTTCTTGTTTTGCCAGGAGGAAGACCCCAACACCTGGCTTTTGCTAAATGAGGAGATAGGCTGGGATGCAAAGCCTTTTTTACAATTACAAGGGTAAATATTTACTCATTCACACAAGGTATCCCAGACAAATCAGGGCATCAGAATGTGGTTTTACATGGGCTTCTTATACTTTTCAAACAGTCAGGTACAACATGACTAATCACTAACACCCACACTACCAATCGCTAGTCGCAGTAGAACTTTGCAAAGTAACTATTTTTTCAGCATTCTTGCTGCTTGTCTATTAAATGAGGTGGTTTTGGTGTCAGTCTTGCTCAGATTACTGATCTGCAACACTAGACGGTGCTGGGCAAGTTTCAAAGACATGTCACAGGGGCTGGGATGCTGGTGTTACAGTGGTTGTGCTGAGTTATCCTTATCCTCCGTGGACTGCTCTAAGCTGAAGGTAGCTGATGACACAGAGCTGTGTGGTGTGGTTAACACACTGGAGGGAAGAGATCTGGACAGGCTGGAGAGGTGGGACAGTGCAAACCTCATGAAGTTCAACAAGGCCAAGTGCAAGGTCCTGCACCTGGGTCAGGGCAATCCCAAGCACAAATACAGGCTGGGCAGAGACTGGATTGAGAGCAGCCCTGAGGAATAGGACGTGGGAGTGTTGGGTGATAAGAAGCTCATCACGAGCCGGCTTCAGTGTGCACTTGCAGCCCAGGAACCAGCCATGTCCTGAGCTGCATCAAAAGAAGCATGACCAGCAGGTTGAGGGAGAGGATTCTCCACCTCTGCTCTGCTCTTGTGAGAGCCCCCCCTGCAGTCCTGCATCCAGCTCTGGGGCTCCCAACACAAGGGGGACATGGAGCTGCTTGAGTGAGTCCAGAGGAGGCCACAAAGGTGCTCCAAGGGCTGGAGCAGCTCTGCTATGGAGACAGGCTGAGAGAGCTGGGCTTGTTCAGCCTGGAGAAGGGAAGGCTCCAGGGAGAGCTTAGAGCAGCTTCCAGTGCCTAAAGGGGCTTACAGGAAATCTGGAGAGGGACTTTTTACAAGGGCCTGTAGTGATAGGACAAGGGGGAATGGCTTTGAGCTGACAGAGGGGAGATTTAGATTAGATATGAGGATATGATGGTGGTGAGGCACTGACACAGGTTGCCCAGAGAAGCTGTGGCTGCTCCATCCCTGCAATGTTCAAGGCCAGGTTGGATGGGGCTTGGAGCAATCTGGTCGAGTGGAAGGTGTCCCTGCCTATGGCAGGGGCTTTGAATTAAATATCTGAGGTGTCTTCCAACCCAAAGCAGTCTATGGTTCTATGATCACTCCAGAATTAGCAGGCCCATGGAAGTCTCTCTGAAGCTGCCTTCTGTACTGGGGACAGCTCTTTCACACTTGCTGAGCAACGCCCTGACACTAGAGGCACTGCCAGCCAGCTTGGGCAGCAGGAGGAAGCATCTACTGAACCATTTATGTGTGCAAAGTGCCTCATTTATTTGTCCTGGGTTCATCTGTAAAGCGACACTCGAGCTGCAGAGCATCCTGGTGACACAAGGCAGGGACCCAGGCAGGCATCTGGGCAGCGGGACCAGGCAAGGTGCCATCGGGCAAGCCAGGGAATACTGAAAGGCCACTCTAATCCCACCAGCCTTTCCACTCCCTCTCCTTATTTGTCTCTGAAGGGTATTTTCAAACCCTTCAAGATGGCCTCAAGTGGTTTCCAAGGCGACAGTGCTAAAGTCATTACTGCCATGGAAACCCTCTCTTTGGCATAATATAAATATTTCCCTTGAAGGAAGCTGGATGAGTGGGCGATGTGCTATTTTCTAGCACTCCCTGGCTGTAACAGGACAATCTCCAGGAGATGGGAGGGAGGAGGAGCAGGGGAGGATAAAATTAGCTTGCCACACTGGCTGGCGATGGAAAAGGTGATTACCAGCAGTTCAGTGCAAAACCCCGGCTTGTTTGTGTCAGCAGGGTCCAAATGAGAGAAGATTTACCCTGTAGGGAGAAAAAGGGAATAAAAAAAGAGGGGGAGGGAGAAGTAAGTTTGAAAACAGTCAGGTTTTTCCCTGTCCTTCTTCGAAGTTTTCCCTTTAGTCCCACCCCTGCATCCCTTCTGATCAGCGCAGACAGACGGGGCTTCTGGAGCATCCTCAGTGCTGGGCCAGAGACAGCTGAGCCTGAGCCAGACTGAGAGCATGGATGAGATGCTTCTTTTTTTTTTGTTTTTAATTGCCTCCTTTCTGTCTCAACAACTCACAAATACCTTCACTTGAGCCCTGGGGAGCGGTGTCGCCTGCAACCCCTAGCACTGATGGTGGAGCAGCAGCGCTTGGAACACTCTTTGTGATGCAGCATCCCCCAAACCTGAGGACTGCTCTGCTGTGGTCCCCAGCCCATTGACCCCTCCAGTCCCTGCCCCTGCCTGCACCGTACTCAGCACTGGGGCATATCTCCAGAGAGGGGCTACTGGTGTGCCCCACACAACATGGACAGCTGGGCAGACCCCTGTGTGATGGCAGGGATTGTCCCTGCTGCCACCTCACCACACCAGCTCTTGTCAGCCTCCGGGGGAAATCCCTGTGGATTTCCGAGCTGCTATGGGGGATCCCGACACGGCACAATGGTGTTTTCCTAAATGGAGACAGCTGCATCATCATCACCAGGGCTGTGCAGGGTGGAGGTGCTGGCTGTGTGATGGGAGCTGGGGACCAGGCATCTGCACAGCCCATCTCTGCTTGTGTTGGCACAGAGGTGTAAATACCGCCTGGCCTGGAGCAGATGGCTCCTCTCACATCCATGCTCCAGGCAGATACCAGAGGGCTTTCCTAACAAATAAACTCCCCACTGAACACACATTCCCAGCCTGGAGTGCTTCTCACTCTCCTGGAAGAAGGGGATGCTCTCACTTCACTGGGCTGCCCAGGCTATTTTTAAACCACCGCAGCAACTGAAGGATGGGGAGACACCGTGTGTCCTCCAGCTGCGGATGACACCCCCCCTCCATGCTCTCACCTGCTGATCTTGCCTTTGGCAGGGGCTGGGCATGAATGTGTGCTCCCAGCAGCTGGCCAAGCTGGAGGACAGGGGCTTGCCCTGTGACTCCCCAGCACCACCCCAGAAAACCTGCTATGAGGCAGAGAGCTGCCCTGAGGCCCTTTTGCCCTCGGAGGT